CAGGTAGTGCCAGCACTAGGGCCTGTCAGGGCCCGGTACCCGCAGGGGCCGACGTCTCGCCCACTGCTAGCTGAGCCACTGCTGGGGGCGCCACACTTTGGACCCGCAGGCCCCAACTGACGGGAGTGCTGCGGCTGGCCCTGCTGCTGTAGAACCCTAGTACATGCCATGTGAGCCTATGCTGCTACTGGTTCTGCTGAGGGCAGCCTAAGCTGCTGCTGGTGCGCTGGGGGCAGCCTGTGCTGCTTCTGGTTCTGCTGAGAGGCAGCCTAGGCTGCTACTGGTTCTCCAGGGGGCAGCCAATGCTGCTGCTAGTGCGCAGGCAGTTGCCTAAGCTGCTGCTGGTGCGCTGGCGGTAGCCTAAGCTGCTGCTGGTGCGCTGGGGGCAGCCTATGCTGCTGCTGGTTCGCTGGGGGCAGCCTATGCTGCTGCTGGTTCTGCTGGTTCTGCTGGTTCTGCTGGTTCTGCTGGTTCTGCTGGTTCTGCTGGTTCTGCTGGTTCTGCTGGTTCTGCTGGTTCTGCTGGTTCTGCTGGTTCTGCTGGTTCTGCTGGTTCTGCTGGTTCTGCTGGTTCTGCTGGGGGCAGCCTACGTTGCTGCTGGTGCGCTGGGGGCAGCCTATGCTGCTGCTGGTGTAGCTGGCGGCAGTGTAATCGGCTGGGGCTACTGACGGCGGGTGTGGTAGGTCGTGGGGAGGCAGGTTTCAGGTGGGGAAGCTGTTAAGGCAGCGGGCTACGGGTGAGGCGGCGGTTCTGTGCAGTTCTGTGCGGTTATGTGCAGTACTGTGCGGTTCTGTGAGGTTCAATGCGGTGGAGAGGACTGGGTGGGGCAGCTGATTCCGGGTGAGGTGCCTGGAACGGGTGGGGCAGCAGGTTTCCAGGTGGGGCGGCGGTTGTCAGGTCTGGGGCGGTGGTTTTCAGGTGGGGAAGCTGTTAAGGCGGCGGTTCTGTGCGGTTCTGTGCAGTTATGTGCAGTTCTGTGCGGTTCAATGCGGTGGAGAGGACTGGGTGGGGCGGCTGATCCCGGGTGAGGTGCCTGGAACGGGTGGGGCAGCAGGTTTCCAGGTGGGGCGGCGGTTGTCAGGTCTGGGGCGGCGGTTTTCAGGTCTGGGGCGGCGGGTTTCCAAGTTCGGCGGCGGTTTTCAGGTCTGTAATGGCGGGTTTTCAGGTCTGGGGGGCGGTTAAGACGGTGGGCTGCACGTGCGCGCGGCCGCGACGTACTAGCGCGAAGCTGCGGGTGCGACTAAGGCTGCGCGCGCAGCTACGCGCGTTCGTCTGCTGCGCGCTAGAGGGCTGGGGGGAAACGCGCGGGGTAAAACGAGTGGGGCGCGGGGCAGAAAACGAGTGACGCACGGCAAAAACGGGTGGGGCGCAGGGCAGAAACGGGTGACGCGCGATGTCGACGGGGGGGCGCGACCTACTCGGGCTCTACGGGGCAGGGCGCTTCGGGCTATGGGTCGCTACGAGGCGCGCGGGTGGTGGGCCCATAGACTATCGAGAGAAATTTCGCCTAAGGGAAAAAATCGCCTAGGGGAAAAATCGCCTAAGGGAAACCTAGCTCTATACCATGTTACGATAAGAATGAATTGATAGAAAATGTGAAGTACAACCCTAGATATAGCAAACCCTAATCATGCAAGTAAGTAGAAACGTAACACCTAGACTAACCTAAACAACACATATAAAATATATGTTGACACCCTCTGCCCAAGCAGCTCCACCCAGTCGGGGAGCTCAGCCTCGTCGCCAAACTCGGTACGCCAGGCGTCGCTCAGACGGGCGAAGCAGCGGGATTGTGTGTGACTAAGCATCCCGCAAGCCTGACCAGTCTGAGTACCAGTGCGAATGACGTACGGGCAGCGAACGGTACTCAGAGACCCTCTACTCTGAGCGTACCACTCACGAAGCTGCTGGGGCGTGAGAGACTCGCGCGGACGTCGCTGGAGCTGCATCTGGCCACCGCCAGTAGCAGCAGTAGCAGCAGTAACAGCAGTAGCAGCAGTAGCAGCGCGGCCACCCCTACAACCCCAACTAGCGTACCACCCACGAAGCTGCTGGGGCGTGAGGGACTCACGCGGACGTCGCTGGAGCTGCATCTGGCCGTCGCCAGTAGCAGCAGTAGCAGTAGCAGTAGCAATAGCAGTAGTAGCAGCAGCAGCGCGTGCAGGGTAGGCGCGGCAGGCAGGCAGGCAGGCAGGCGGGCAGGCAGGTCGGCAGGCAGGCAGGCAGGCAGTCAGGCAGGCAGGCGGGCAGGCAGGCAGGCAGGCGGCAGCGCACGAACAAGGCAGGTGCTCACCAGTGGCAGGCAGGGCCGGCGCTCGGCGGGGCCGCAATAGCGGCTGCAGAGTAGGGCCGCGGCAGCTGTAGGGCGGGGTCGCGCCAGCAGCAGGTCGGGGCCGCGTCAGCGTCCAGGCGGGGCCGCGTTGGCGGCAGGGCGCGGCCGCGGCAGCTGCAGGGCGGGGTCGCACCAGCGGCAGGTCGGGGCCGCGGCACTTGCAGGACTGGCGGGGCCGCGTCGGCGTCCGGGCGGGGCCGGGTCGGTGGCAGGGCGCGGCCGCATGCGTCAGCAGCTGGGCGCGGCCGCGTCAGCAGCGGGGCGCGGCCGCGTTAGGTGCAGGGCTGGCGGGTGCGCGTCAGCAGCAGGGCGCGGCCGCGTCAGCAGCAGGGCGCGACCGCGTCAGCTGCAGGGCTGGCGGGGCCGCGTCTCGGCAGGGCGGGGCCGCGACCGCGGCAGGGTGGGGCCGCGTCCGAGTCGGCGGCAGGGCGGGGCCGCGACCGCGGCAGGGTGGGGCCGCGTCAGCGACAAGGCGGGGCCGCGACTGCGGCCTGACGGGGCCGCGACTGCGGCTTGACGGGGCCGCGATAGCGACCTGACGGGGTCGCGCGCTGGCCTGACGGGCTTGCAGAGTCTGCGCGCGGGCGGCGAGGGCCTGCAGGGGCGGCGCGCGGTCGGGCAGAGGCTGCGCGCGGGCGGCGTGGGCCTGCAGGGGCGGCGCACGGTCGGGCAGAGGCTGCGCGCGCGCGGCGAAGGCCTGTATGGGCAGCGCGCAGTCGAGCAGAGGCCGCGCGCGGGCGGCAAGGTCCTGTAGGGGCAGCGCGCCGGCCTGACGGGCCTGCAGGGGCGGCTCGCGGGCCTGACGGGCCTGCAGGTGGCGGCTCGGGGGGGGCTGACGGGCCTGCAGGGGCGACTCGGGGGCCTGACGGGCCTGCAGAGGCGGCTCGGGGGCCTGACGGGCCTGCAGAGGCGGCGCACTGACCTAGGGCAGCAGGAGGCAGCGCGAGGGCTGCAGGACGGCGCGCGCAGCGCAGCACGTCACGAGGCAAGGCAGGCAGGCACAGGACAACACGTGGGGTAACGCGGTAACCGCAACGGTAGGTGGGCTCGAAAAAAAAAACGGTCCTGCGGACCTAGTGCTCTGAAACCATGTTAGAATCTGACAGTGGGAATGATGAACTATGAAAGAGATGGGTACAAATATAGAACCCTAAAAGGGGCTGTACCCCATATTGGCTACCCCACTACAGCCTAAGCATATATATCATTTGACACACGTGTCCCAGGAGTCCGGGGAAGGGGTGCTTGGGAAGACAGCGAGGGCGGAGTCGATGATCTGTGGGACGTGGGGGCGCATGAGTAGATGCTGTCGGAGGCGCCACGGTCGGGGTGCAACTGTGAGGTTGATGAATGTGAGCGAGCAAAGGGGGGCGTAGAGGTGGTCCGTGATTGCCGTGCGGGTTTGGATGTACGGGCTTGCAGCGAGGCGGGGTACAAAGGCCCGAGAGATGTAAATCCTGTCGAGTCGTGAGGAGGTGGGCGGTGTTGCAGAGTTATGACGTTGCCTCCCATAGAAGGAGAAGACGTCGGTCGGCGTGGGGTAGAGCGTGCGGAAGGTGTCGACCAATGCGTGGTCGTCCATGAGTTTGGCGAAAGAGGCGCCCTCGCGCACTTCGAAGTCTTTGAGTGGGCGGTTTCTGTCAATGGGAAGGACTACCAAGTTGAAATCTCCGACAAGCATGGATGCAGCAGCAGCGGTTGGGGCTTCTAGTGCCGGGGCGAGCGTGGTGGTCCACCACACCCGGCGTTTGTAAAACTGTGTGGGGGCGTAGATGGCGACAAGGCGGATTTGCTCGCGAAGAAAATTGAGGTGAACGGTGAGAAGTCTTCCATCTGCGGAGGGAAGCGGAGAGGACAGTGAGATGGCCCTGTTGAAAGAGAGGATGGAGACGCCACCGATGAGCGTGGACCTCCTTGTAGCGCTGGCGGTAGAGAGTAGTGCTGGGGCGTGCGCTGAGGCGTGCGGTCGAAACCTTAAGTCAAGGTTGGGGATTCTGCGGATAAGTCGGGTGTCGATAAGGATGACGAGGTCGGTGGGGGTAGGGAGGCGCGATAGCCACGATTTAAGCTCGTCCATTTTTCGGGTTTCGTTGATTCCGTTCACATTGATGCATAGGATGCGTAGGTGTGTTAACATGGCCATGCTGTGGAGGCCACCGCACGAGAGATCATGCGTATCCACGGCCTAGGTCGTATAGGGGTCGGTTGCAGGGTCGACCGGGGCGGAAATGGGGTGGAATGGGGTGACAGGGTCGGTGGGAGCCTTGGGGGAGGCGGTGAGCCGAGCATTGGCATGTTGCCATGGGGGAGGGGGGTCTTACGAGAGCGGAGCCAGGGCTGTGTGATCTGTGAACGGTTAGTGTATCCGTTTCTTGGTCGAATAGGGGACGTACAGTCAACGGGTAGGTGGGGTGGGACTCAAGTTCCTTCGAGTCGTGTGGGTGTTTTGAATTGTTAAGTTCTCTAACCAGACTTTTGTCTGCTCCTTTATTTTGATCTGGGGGGCACGTTGCATGTGGAGGGGCGGTTTTTCTCGGAGAGGGGGGAGGGGAAGTAGGATGTTCGGAGCACAACGAGCATGCAAGGTCGAGTTTTATTAGATGTTCATGAGGAGTACGACTCAGACCCAACAAACATATGCAGCAGACAAGGCAAGTGCATGGGGCAGCTAAGCACGGGTCGTAGTCTTCAGCTTCTTGAGGAAGGCTTCGATTCCTCCCTTCTTCAGGAGGGCAGCAAAGCTCCAGGTGAGGTAAGTCTCCTTGGCAGCGGTGTTGTGCGCGTTGGCGAGCAGCTGGGCGCGGTGGTGTGCCGACTCCATGTGCTTCAGCGCGCTGTCCAGCGCCGGGCCGCATTCGAAGTTGCAGGACACGCAGGTCCAAGGTTCGACGTCCAGATCCGTGCCGATGAATAGGAGGCCGAGGTCGGCGCGGAAGGCGTTGGACGCGGCGCAAGCTCCGAAGGCACCTCCTGGGGGGCAGTGCAGGGGGGGTAAGGCCGAGGCCAGAAGGGAGAGGGCGGGTGAGCAGAGGTAGAGGGTGGGAGGGGGAGGGGAAAGGGGGTGGATTAGGATATTTGATGCAAAGGCAGCATAGGAGCAGAAAGGCAAAACAGCAGAATTCGGGGACTCGAAAGGGGAGCGGGGCAGGGGGGAAGGAGGTGGGGCAGGACGGGTTACCGTTTGCCTTCTGCAGTTGGGCGACGGTGAGGTTCTTCTTGTTGAGTCGACCCTTGCGCTTGGTAGGGAAGATCGCATGGTCCTCCACCCGGTGGTTGCTTGAGCAGATAGAGCAAACATGGGTGGAGACATTCACGAGAATGTCCGGCTCGGAAGTGAAGTTTTCATGGGGAAGGCCGTGGGGCTGGAGATCATCACATTCGTGATGGCGAACTCGTCCTCTGGATCAGTCTGTGGCTGCTGGGAGGAGGAGGAGGGTGCCTTGGTCTTGAGCAGCAGGCTCAAGTCGTACCTGCAAGCAAGGGATCACATAGAACAGGACACACACAGGTATAGTCTTGACGGGGAAGGGCGTGGGGCTGGAACTCCTCACGTTTCTGATGGCAAACTCATCCTCTGTAACGTCCTCTGTAACATTGCCTTGGTTGTGGTAGATGAGATCTCGAAAATAATCCTGAAATGCTGAAAAGACATGCCATTGTTGTTGTGAGAAAGCTAAAAACTACAAACATGAATTTCCCCCCTCTGACCAACCCGCCCAACCTCTCTCCCTCTCATTTAGCCCCTCCTCTCCAACATAACCTTGCAGACCCCCCTTGAGAGTGACTCTCCCCTTCCCACTTACATCATCCCACTTAACCGCCAGAGGGGATCAGGGCCGGAATGTTGAGGAAGTTGGGGTCATCCGGCAGGGGGGTGGGGATGCCTGTCATGATGGGGAGGAAGACCCCGTCATAGGGATCTTTCATGCGGTGGAAGTGGGCGATACCCGCCAGACATTCGGGGACCAGGTACGCGAGCAGAACCGACTCCTCAAAGCGGGCCGGGACCTTGTGCAGGGAGAGGACTGGGGCGCCATTTGCTTTGGCCTTCGTGAAATCGGGCTGAGGGTCGACATACGGCTTGACGAAGATGTGTCGGCCGGGGGAGAGCTCGATGGGGTGGTTGAAGATGGGGAGAAATTCGTCAGCAGACTGCTTGGTCGGCCAGGAGTAGCAGATCGATGCATAGGCCCGCCCGGCGAAGCGCAGGGTTTCTCCGTTAGTAGGGCGGGCATCAGGAATGAAGCCGCAGTCGAAGAGAGACGGGCTCAGCTTCGCGCGGATCTTGGAGAAAAGGGTGGCTCGGATAGCGTCGGCTCCGGCCTCGGGGAAGGTCAGGGTAACCACGTGGCGGCTGCTCATCGGGAGGACACGAGGGATCAGAGCAGGGGGGGGCTGGGCAGCTTGGCGGTGGGAACGGGGCAGCTCCGGCTCGGGAGTCTGATCCATCTGCGGGGACACCGGAGCGGTCGTCTCGGCGGTCGCGGCGGGAACGGGCGGGGCTGAGGAGCTGGGAGCGGTAGCCGGCGGAGCGGGGTGAACGGGAACAGCATCGCTCGGTGCCGTGGTAGAGTCGGCCGCGGAGGGGGCCGTTGTGCTGGCGGTTTGCACTGCGGGCATCATGGTCGTGTCCGCGGGTTCTTCCGTGACCTCAGAGGTAGCGGCAGTCGTCTCGTGGGGGGGGGATGCTGGAATCGGCGGCGACGCAAGGCTTCTTGGGGGCGGGGGCGTCAGTGGGAGACCGGGTGCGTGGGAAGTTGGATCCAGCGGGTTCGTCCGGCAGTTCCATCGCTTCGAGCATCTCATCAGTGAGCTCCATGTCCTCATCGAACTGCGGGATTTCAGCCATAGCTCGACGGTGAGGCGGGGAGACAAAATGTGTGGAAGCAAACGGGGAAATGATTGATGAGAAAGAGGGACGGAGGGCTAGAAATAGTCTCAAGCAGCAGCAGGTACCCGAGAGATAAGGCAGCGCACAGGGGAAGGAAGCAGAGTTTGGCTGAGGCATTGTACCGGTGGGTGAAGGAGCCGGGGACCGTAGAGGTCGCGAGAAGGCATGAGAGAAGTTGGCCGCCCGGCCCATGTGTGTGTTACCACATGCAGAAGGCAGTGCTTTGGGGTGAGCGGTGTGTGGGGGCTGCCGCGTCCGATTAAGGCCGGGGTCAAATTGAGCGAAGCGGATGCAAAGGCGTTGGCCATAGCAATTCCGAGGAGGTGACCGGCAGCCTGATCGGCGTTCCAGGTCTGGGTTCCATACCGGCTCGAAAGCGCGGCGTGGGGTTGAGAGAGTAAGCAGTTTTCGAGGTATCGTGAGAGGGGAGAAGGTTTGAGTTTGACAGCTGAGAGGTAGAGAAACAAACCTCGAGGGCAAGCAGGGAGAGCGTGAGCGGGATGGCAATTCTCTCGGTGTGTGGAGGGGCGTGGGAGGGAGGCCACGAGGAGAGGGAACGGAGAGCAAAGGCCAGGGCGGAGCATGGTCCTCCACGTACCTTGGTGGCAGAGGCGTGGAGAGGAACCTGATGTCGCGGTGGTGTCCTGTGACTGGTGGATGAGAGGAGGGGTGGCAATGGCAGTCAGGCTCACCTTGTGATGGTTGGCCGCCTGTATTTAGACGAAAGGGTAGCAGGGCATCAGAGCTGCTCCAGCGGGGCTGCCAGCGCACCTTCTGACGGCGTGGAACTGTGGTTGTTGTGGCGGTGCGCTTTATTGGAGATAGTTTACGCTTGCGTGGCGAGTGCCAGGGTATAAGTCGTTGAGACCGAGAGAGGCGGTTTAAGGGTTGTTGCTTAGACAAGTGTTCTACGTTGTGTGGGGAGAGCGTGTAAGCGTGCACGGGGGGGTGTGAAGAAGACTTACCGATGGTTCGAGGAGTTCGCCACGCGAGGGCGAAATTATTGTCGAGGAGCGTTTGTTGGTGTCTCTGGGCTGAGAGATGAAGTTCGCGTGCGGCGGCGGGAGGTGGGCTGAGTGACGTATGTATTTGCCAGCGTAACCCGAAGGCATCATGACGGCGTAGGGAGATTTTGTCGGAACGGAGGTGTGGAGCAGTTCTCGGGGTTGGCGTGGGGTGGCCAAGTTGCGTGGAGCAGGCAGGGGTGATGGTTGCCACGAGTTGGCGAGGAGTCGGGTGACTGTTTGGGGGCACCGTGTGGCTGCATGTGAGGCGAGAGAAAACACCCAAAACAAGCACAAAAACAAACACAGACAGGGGACTTAGGCGAGAAAAACTTACCTCGAGTCGGGAGAGTCCAAGCTTGCGAACCTTGCATAATCTGCAGATGGTGTGGCTCTTCCTCGACTTTAGGGGAAGGAGGTTAAGTTCGGGGCAGTCCCGGCCATTACGGCCAGAGTGATGTGCTTGCGACATAGTCGGGGTGGGGGTGGAGGGATATCAGGATTTGGGAGAAAACATAGAGATTAGGTGCAAAGCCACAGTACCTCGCATTGACATGCCACTCGGCCTAGTCACTCCATCTTGCGCACACTGGGCGGAAGGATTTGGGAGATACTCTGCCCGTATGGTGCCAATAACAATTTACAGGGTGCCCATAACAATCACCTGGTGCCAGGGCCCAAAATATCAGGGTAAAACGCCCTGATTACCCTGGGGGCAGGCCGCTTTTCCAGGATTACCCTGCCAAAATCAGGATTCCACGAAAGTTACCTTCTGCAAAAAGAGCATGTTTTTTTTACCCTGATAGAATTTATGGTTAGCCTGACAGTATCAGGGTAGGGTGTAGATACCCTGATACCAAAACCTTTTTACCGCGGATCAGGCCATACTCCGCTTGGTGACGAACTGTACCACACCCACACAAACAAGCGTTGTCGCTTACCACTGGCATAGAACCAAGATTCGTTGTCGGCGACACGCCATGTCGCCTCATTGGTTCACCCAATGAGGCGACACCCAGTTTGTAGAAGTAGTTGTCAAAACACATTGTTCTGTTAATCTTACTCTGTGTTGTGTAGGGGTCACACCTTAGAGGGTACAACCCAACTCTCTCGACATCCTTGTACCCCCTACCTCTTACCTAATACACATTCCTTCCTAGCTAGCCTGCGCCAAGCCGTCGCGCAGCCTGTACAGCCCACGCCAGGCCCGCGCGCATCCAGTACAGCCCGCGTAGGCCCGTCGCGAAGCCCGTACAGCCCGCGTAGGCCCGTCGCGAAGCCCGTACAGCCCGCGCCAGGCCGTCGCGCAGCTCGTACAGCCCGCGCCAGGCCCACACAGAGCTCGTACAGCCCATGCTGCTGCTGCTGCTGCTACTTGCTGCAGCTGCTCCTCCTTGCTGCTGCTACTTGCTGCAGCTGCTCCTCCTTGCTGCTGCTGCTGCTACTTGCTGCAGCTGCTCCTCCTTGCTGCTGCTACTTGCTGCAGCTGCTCCTCCTTGCTGCTGCTACTTGCTGCAGCTGCTCCTCCTTGCTGCTGCTGCTGCTACTTGCTGCAGCTGCTCCTCCTTGCTGCTGCTGCTGCTGCTGCTACTGAGCGCCGGCTGCTGCTGCTGCTTGCCGCTGCTGCTCCGCCACTAAGCCCGAGCCGCGCCGCCCTGTCCGAGCCGCGTCGCCCAACCTAAGCTGTCACTGCTGCTGCTGCTGCAACTACTGCTGCTGCTGCAACTACTGCTGCTACAGCTAGTGCTACTCGGTCTACTGCTGCTGCTACCCGAGCCGCCCTGCTACTGATGCTGCTGGAGGGAGTACTGCTGGGAGTGGTGGAGGTGCGGCCTCCCAGCCCCACCGAACCACCCTGCTGCTGTTACTACTGCTGCTGCTGCTACTTGTACTAATGGGAGTGGAGGAGGTGCTGCTGGGATTGCAGGAGGTGCTGCTAGCGCTGTAGGAGCTGGAGGTGCTGGACCTACTCCTGACAGTCACTGTCTGTCATGGCCACTTCCACGGCAGTTGCTGCGGCCAGGGGTGGACAGCAGCGGGCACTGCTTCTCCCGGACTACCCCACCCCTCGGCAGCTTCGTGAGTGGGTTATTCAGCGAGGTCGTCCTGGTGGTGGAGGTTATCATTCTGTTAGGACCGCTGCTCTTGGTGCTAGTGAGTCTGCTGCCACTCCAGGTGTTAGTGAGTCTACTGCCACTCCAGGTGCTAGTGAGTCTGCTGCCGCTCCAGGTGCTAGTGAGTCTGCTGCAGCTCTAGGTGCCCGTGAGTCTACCGACGCTCTAGGTGCTAGTGCGTCTACTACCATAGGTCCTGCCTCAGCTGAGGTCTTGCACACTTTCACGCTTGACTAAGGCACGTCACGTTGCTTCTTCCGTGATTGCACCACAGTCACACCACTCACAGCACCTCTCCCAGTCTCACTGGCTGACCCCTCTGGGGGCCCAGTGGTTGCGAGAGCCTCCCTTGTCCAGCAGTCCCCTCCGGCTCTTTGTCAGGTCTCCACCTCCCCACGTTCTCAACGAACTTGGTGAGCAACGCTGCCATTCAGGATGTCTGGGTTGATACCTTTATTCCTGGAGGGCAGCGTGTGGCAATCTGTACGTGCTCCCGGACTGGCCGTCACCTGGCTACGTTCACTTGACAGCCTGGGTCTAGTCTCTACACACTGACCACTGCGTCTGCACAGGTGGCCGAGTCAGGTCAGGTAGCTGCGTCGAGTCGAGCGTCTGCGTCAGGGCAGTTAGCTGCGTCTTGCTCGTGCAGAGCACTCATGCACGAGACTCAGCGCTGGCACCACCGTCTTGGTCACTCCTCCCTGCAGCGTCTGCGCGGCATGCACTCCCGGCTCCTGGTCACTGGCCTCCCTGAGACCCTGCCCCCTCCCGCGCTCACTTGCACTGCCGTGCCTTCCTTGCGTCGAGGGGCGGCAGCGCGCTGCTCCTCACTCCTCCGAGTTTACTCCGACCACTACTCCTCTGCAGACTCTCCACCTGGACGTGTGGGGCCCGGCCCCCGTCGGTGGGACGGACCAGGAGCGCTACATCCTGCTGGTTGTTGACGACTACACACGCTACACCACACTCTTCCCCTTGCGTCGCAAGGCGGACGTCAGCGGTGTTTTGATCCCCTGGATCCGTGCTACTCGTCTCCAGCTACACGAGCGCTTTCAGCAGGACTTCCCAGTCCTGCGTCTGCACTCTAACAGGGGAGGTGAGTTCTCTTCTGGCGTCCTTGAGACGTTCTGCCAGGATGAGGGCATCGCCCAATCGTTCACGCTTCCGGCCTCTCTGCAGCAAAATGGGATCGCTGAGCATCGCATTGGCCTGATCATGGAGGTTGCTCGTACCTCCATGATCCATGCGGCTGCTCCCCATTTCCTGTGGCCATTTGTGGTTTGATATGGTGCGCATCTGCTCAACCTCTGGCCCTGTGTCTCTGCTCCAGAGACCTCGCCCACACTTCGTTGGACGGGACAGCCTGGTGATGTGTCGTCGTTTCGGGTCTGGGGGGCGCTCTCCCTTGTTCGCGATACCAAAGCGAGCAAGCTCTCTCCTCGCACTCTCCGCTGTGTCTTCCTGGGCTTTCCCACCGACGCTCCACCCTGGCAGTTCTACCACCCTGCCTCGCGTCGTATTCTGTCCTCTCAGGACGTCACCTTCGACGAGTCGGTCTGTTACTACCGACTTCACCCGCACGCGTCCCATCCAGTCCCCCTTGCACCCCTCTTC